ACACAAGAGAGCCGTGAGCCCTCTCATTACAAGTTTCTGTCATCGTCACCAGCCAGAGCTTCCCATCGCACAGAGACTACAAACCAGCTGCTTTCCAGCCTGATTCTTCCTTACACTCTGATCAGACTGAAGGAAGAAAAGGAAATTTTCTTGTGCTCCTGTCCACATTCACTTGCTTCCTCCTTGGTTTGGTGCACTCCCAGCTCCCCATCTACTACTTTGATCATCTCCCTTAAAAGGGAGCATAAATAATTGAGCTGCTGAGCTTCTGCACAGATCAGCTGCTGAACAAACCCCTAGCAATATCCTCATTGACATAAAGGTGAAGTAGCTTCCCCGAAGTAGTAAAAAAATAAAATAAAATAAAATAAAATAAATGCTGCAACAAGGCTCCTGTGCTGAGGATGAGGTGCCGAAGCTTGGATGAGTATTGATACAACATGCAAGGAGGAATAAAAGCTTTCAGAGTCTCAAATAAATGACTGTCAGCACCACTGCAGCATGAAAGAACATATAATTCTTTCCTCCTATTTTCTCTCTTTCAAGAAGGTGGCCCTCAGCAACCTTAAGTACCTTTGTATACAGTTTGTTTGCTCATTCAGTTTTATAGGTATGGCATTTTTTAGGGTTCTAATGTGTTTTGTAGATGCAATAAATCCAAATAAGTATTCATAAACTCTTCTATTTCCCCAGGACTACTCCCTTTTATGTGCCTGCATGATCTCTACCAGAATCATTTTACCTTAATTAGTATCTTTGTACAATGCTACCACATGGTGTTGTTTAAAGCCTGCATATCTCATTGACTCCTACCTTCCAAAACACGAGGAATAAAATCAGCATGGCATTGCCCACGGTGGAGCACAGCTGGTTCAGAGCTGGCTGCAGTTGAAAAGACAGCTTTTCTCACAAGTTTTAGAAGTTACCAAGTATTTTTCAATTTAACAATAGAAACAGATTGGGCTTCAAGTTTCAGCCACTGTTTGGTAGGTTTTGCTTCTGTTTTGTCAGGAGCAACTGAAAAGTATATTTAATTAAAAAAATAATAATAGAGTATACTCCATAGAAGTTTTTCTTTGTTTCTTACTTCGCAAAGTCTGTTGAAATGAATAATTGAACTGTTTTCTGTATGATTGTTGGTAGGGAGAAAATAATGTAGAATAACATACACAGTAACACAGAAACACACTAAAAAAACACTTTGAGGTTAGTAAATAAGTGCTGAAATCAAGTCTGCCTCCACATGAAAAATACATACAAGCTTTTAACAGCAAAAAACACAAATTTCCCTTCTTAATATAAATGTAATGCAAAAAATAAAATAATTTTTAAAAAGCTACCGGTTCAAACTGTATCAAGATCAGACACCGTACCAGCAAGTCCTGGTTCGTATTTCAAGCATTTCAAGGCCCCTGTACGGTGCTGCGCGGGCATCTCTCAGTGTGATATCGCATTAGCAGTCCTGCTGGGAATTGCAGCCACAGCCTAGAGGAGATATCTGCAAAGCCACCTAGCAAGTATCTCATCATATCAGGATAAAAAGGAATTTGGTTGGCTCAGGCTTGTCTTTGCCCAGGATGCTCACTGTGAATCTGCTGGGCTATTTTGGTTTGGTTTTCAGGTTTTGCATAAACTGTTCAGGGTCCCATGCTTCTTTCCTTCTTCTTCCTTAGCCCAGGGCAGAGACTGGTGTGGCACTGTGTCTCAGCACTACTGTTCCTTGGGGATTATTCAAAGCACTAAAATACATACAGATATTTACTGTGCGTTAATACATTTCTTACCCTGCCCAGCTTCAGTAAATAGATTGGTCTGACTCACATCACTCTGGCTTGCTAGCTTTCTAGATGCTGTTCCATTCACAAAGAAGCCATGCATGTTCACAGCCATGTTTCCGTAGCTGAGAAGTCTCATTTCTTTATGCCTGCTTCTAAAAGTTTAATTTCACTGGCAGTCTTCGGCACTCTTTCCCAAAAAGCATCAGGAGGCACATGAAAGCAAGTTAAGTGTGAAACGGTGGTTTTCGTGTCTGCTTCTGTGTATAAATCTTCTGAAAACCATTAACACAAACAGAAAAGAAAGTGTCTTATGGCATTTACATGCTAAGTGAGTGATTCTATTTCTACTAGAGAAGATGGAAAGGAGAAACTGTGCCCACTTCTCAAACTGATATGTTCCAAAGGTGCTTTTCTTCAGCAGAAAGCAGAGGACTCCTTTGAAGATAGCAGCTCCTGAAATTAATTTTGAGTTTTCAGAGTGGTAAGGGTTAATTTTAAATTGATCTTTCAAGTCATATAATATTGTTAATTAAGCCCATTAGTTGTATGTAAAGGGCCAGTCATAAATGGAATCCATTATGCTAGGCACCCAGGGTAGGGAAGTATTCCTGCCCTGAAGACCTTCTCTTGTAAAGACAAAATATATATATATTACACAAAGAGACTTGGACAAGCATCAGCTCTTTTTCTTAGGTGCAGGAAGGAGTTACTAAACATCAGGTAAAGAAATGTTTAAAAAAAAAAAAAAACAAAAACACAAAGGCTAAGTGAAACAGAACTGGAGAAAGAGGTGGCGGTACAGAGTGACAAATACTAAGGGAATAGTTGGGTTATGAATGGGGTGAAGCCATGTGGGAGCTGCAGGAGGCCCTGCTCACCTGTGCCTGCTATGCTCCTTCCCACTGGGGCTGGGCTGCCTTCCCTCCCAACACCACTATGCAAAAAGCAGTGGAAGGAGCACAACAGCCTCCTGTTCAGAAAAGATACTACCCAAGTTAACCTTAGGAAATTATGAGGCATGCACATGATGCAAATAAGACACGGTCCTTTTTTAGTTTACAGGGTATCTAGACAGGCACTCAGAGTAGCAGGAGCAGGTTTCTGAGAAATGCCTTGGCTGCCTTCCCTACAGCTCTTTACTTGCCCAGGTATCCCTTCATTATCTGAAAGGAGAGGCGTTCCTCCTGCCTTCCCAGTCACAACTTGGAACAAATAATTTAAAAATGTACATATCATATGAAACAAAATGATCCTTCTCCCTCACAGGCTTCCTATAGCCTATGCATGGAGTACAAAAAGACTTCTCATTCCAAGGGTAGATGTGTTTGCTGCAAGTCTCAGCAAGTTGCTAATGCAGTAAATTATACCATTGAAAAAATGAGGGTGACAACATCCAGCTGTAACAGCAGGCACACAAAACATAGGTAAACAGTTTAATTACCCAAACATTTTCAGCTCCACAGAGAAATTGATGAAAGATTAAATTCCCTTTTTAATCCCCTTACATTTGCCTCATGTGAACGTTCTCCTCCAAAAAACACAACCCTATTGTTAAGTTAAATAGACATAAATACAGCCTGACCATTCCTCCTCAGCTTTGCTTCTCTTCAAATCAACCTTACATCATCTCTAGTCCTTCTCATTATTCTTTTAGATGAAGAAATGTGTTGGAAGGAAAGCAGATTTTCCTTTTCTGGTACATAGTCAAGGGGAACTCGTTCCCTGTGCAAGCTCCTTGCAGCCCATAGATGGGAGTACGAGGTTTAAGGCTTAAATAATCAAACTTCCTCCAAAACACAGAAGTGCCATGTGACCTGCAGCTGCCATAGATTTTGGTTTGGTTTCTGTTACAATGGTAACAGCAAGGCTTCTAAACACTTCAGCTGGAACAGCTCAGTTGTCCTTGCCCCTCCAGCCCTGCCACCCCCGAGAGGTGGTCCCTGGTACCTTGCCACTTGTGGTACTCGCTTTCCTATGGCTCCTATCAAACTGCAGCAGGTTGTGTGCTGTAAGCAAGCAGAGCAAATTATTCAGAAGAAACAAGGCTTATGGCAAAGATTCTGCCCGGCTGAAGAAGCCGATTTTACTATGCAAATGGTAATTGCAGCAATCTTTAAAGACAAGTTGTTGACAAGCTTTAGGCAAGGTAAAAACAGAGGAAAGCAATTAATTTATTATTTTCCCTGTAAAGAACAGTGTATAGATAATGGCCCATTGTAAGCATGAATAATATTGGAGCTGCAAGCAACGTGGTATAATTTTAACATTCTACAGCCTTTTTTAATCAATCTTACTGATGTTCATCACATCCGTAAAGCTCAAAAGAATGGGTTTACTAAACTTAAGGAAAATATAAGATCTCATTTTGTGCCTTTCAGTTTCTTCATTATGTTGCCATAATGTCATCAGTGTAATATATTTCACCCTTTTGCCTCCGTTTTAACATTCATTTTTTGATTCTGCTATGATTATATCTGCTTCTTCAAAGCAATGAGAGATGAGTTATGAATGCTGCTTTAACTCCACTACAACATCCAGGAGATGAGCACGATGTGCTGAGAGGGAAAAAAGAAAAAATTACCTGCTTTAGGACTCAGAATTCAACACTAACGAGCAAAATATCTTACCAGCTGACACTGGCCTGAAGGAGCTATGGGATATTAACAGGGGAAGCAACAGCTGGGACTGTTAGAAACCACTAGAAGATCTGCATGGGTTTCCAAGACAACTTTGGCCAAAGATTAGCCAATTTAGAAATACTTTATACTCTACTGAAGTCTGCAGTAGGAAACAAGATTATGATAACTTCAGGACAGAGAGTTCAGAACATTGACTACATCTGCACAACCAAAACAGTAAGGCCTAATGGACAGAGCTATTCAACAGCCACATGGCTGCTGCTCCTGTAACAGGATCAGGAGCCTGCTGACTACCTCTGGATGAGCTCTGCAAGGCAGTTTATTTCAGCCAGCTCCTCCACAAAAGATACACAATGTTCCAGTGTACAAAGCTTAGGGTAGATCAGCCAGATGCAATGGGCAAGACCAGCTCCAGACAGCTTCCTTCCACCAGTCTCACTAAAACAAAGGACCCTGCATTGAAGAGGGAGAGGGTAACAGGGAATGAAATGTTGAAGCTAGTTCTAAGAGGTGGTAAGAAGACTCGAGAATTCACTTCTTATGCCAGTTTTTAGATTTGAAAAAGATATCTTTTATTCCCAATTTGACCAGCATCATGGAAGAAGCTTTAGTTAGCTATTTAAACACCTTATAAACTTTCAGATACACATAGAAGTTTGCCAAAGTTTCTTTCAAAGCTGTGTGGGATAACAATGAGAACAAGAGACTCAATATTCTAGGGCTTATCTCGTTCTCAAGCCTTCTCTCCAAATATCTGAATGCTACCATCCTCTCATAAAAACAAGAGAAACCATTGCACAAGATCTGAGATTTAATTAACAAAATAAAGTCTGATTTAAGAACAGAAATACATTCAACTGTTGAAGTTTTCTGCATGAACAGGGTATCAGAATGATTTGAGATTTTTCTTGTCACACAGTAACAAAGCAGAAGTAACAAAATGAACATGCACACACAGGGAATTGTTGATCTGATGTGTTTTGGTTTACTTGAGAAGTTTGTGTTTTACCTGCAAAGTTTTCAAAGTCATCACTGAGCATCTGAAATGAAATTATTCAGAAGTTGTTTGTTACCAAATGCTTGCCCTCAATCTGCCTCATCTCTGTTTGTAATTCCTTGGGGAGAATGACACTTTTTTTTATTATTATTTTTTATAAACAGAAAATCAGAAAACAATGTCTTGGAATCTTGCCACTTTCTTATTAAAAATGGGTATTTACGCCCAACTAGTTGTGTATAGACAAAAAAAAATCTGCGAATATGTAATTGCAAGCACAACAGCATGTAAATATATTCAACAATTCATCTTTCTTAAGAAGGAAAACAAGCCTAAGGAAAAAGGCACACTAGACAAGAAGTCTGAAGCATTCCAAATGCATCCTACTATGTTTGCAGTGATCACTTAAAAAAAAAAAAGTGTGAAGGTGAGAATTATATTATCCATTTGATAATTATTTTGTAAGAGAGCGATCCAAAAGAAACAAGACCGCAGCTAGACATCACTGCTGCCCACAACAGCTTGAGCAGCAGCTACCCTGCCCACCCAGTTGCTCCAAGGCCCTACACGTTAACCTGCACTGCCCCTCTATGAAAAGCAGGGATGAACACTTGCGGGAAGGAACTGCTTAGCCTAGCAAAGAGGTTCACATGTAGCTATAGACTAACAAACTACTGACAAAACGTGAAACCCCTAAACACGCATTTGGATGATTCAGGTCATTCAAATCTTCAGGCAAAAAATCTCATTTACTTGAGCTTACATGGAAGTAACTACTTGATATTTAGCACCTTTGATGAAAAACATTATGAAGTTCTTTATTTGCCAAATGAGGTATTCAGTTTATTTCAGAATACATAATGTTGTGAAATATGTAAATTATTGTATATTATATATAAAAATTACATATATTATACTAGAAGCACACAGGATAGTCTCCTGTCTTTAGTGTGACACACATAGATTGGGGAAATAACAGACACACATACACATGTCCAAATCAGTAGGTGATAGAACTAGTGTCTATCAAAGCCTAATTAGGAAACCCCTGCTGACTTCAATGAGCTTTGGATCCAGCTTTGTTTTTTTATATAAACTCAAGCTTTTTACTGGCCCTTCGGAATCCAACTGTTGGATGACATTTATACACTCATTAAACTTCAGTAACCAGGTAAGCCCTTGGAGACCTGTGCACCAAATCCAGGGTGTGCTGCATCCATGCTTCCTTAACTGGGAAGGAAATCCAAAAGTAACCAAAGCTTAACAACTCCTACTGCTTTCCACTGTAGGTTGTGATATGGTAATGAAATGTTCCCAAAACTTTACAGGAAGTGTTCTCATTTAATCAAAATGCATTACAGTTCCCCAGATTTAAGTGTTCAACATTAGTTTTCAAGAAATCTTCCTCATTTAAGGCAGATGTTTGTAAGGAGGTTTTGCATTTGGATAAAGGTCACCACCTACAGTTGGACAGGTCATTCTGTGCCACACAGCAAATTGCTCCTTTGAGCCCACATGAGATTTAATATCCTGTGAATCAAAGCGTAACATGCTTTTTGTTTGCATACAAAGAGCTTTATCACAAGCACGCACCAGCAACCGCTAGTAGAACAGACCGTAACTAGTGAGACAGACAAACCTCTTTGTCCCAAGAGCTCCAGGCAGTGGGTCTGATAACATGCAGCATCTCTAATAGTCATAGCAGAAGGACTGCTCCTTGCAGAGCAGATTATGAAGAAAAAGGGACGACTTCAATCATCACAGCAGGATGCCTTCTCTTTGTTTTTCATAACATTTCTGCTTGTGGTCCTCCAAGTTTTTTCCTACTTCCCTGTCTTGTTAACCGGACACCAAAACACAAGTACACAAGTCCCGGGGTACGTGGTTTAACCAACACCTCCCCTTCCTTCTCCAGAAGTTCTTCACCACTCGGGGTGACGCACACACTAACCAAAGATCACCATTCATCCCACCCATGTCAGGGCAATGGAAATAGCTGGGTCTGTACATGACAGAGCCAAGGAAACCAGGCATGAGATCTTCTCCACTTGCTTCATGACCTCCACGTAAGTTTGTCCTGCAAGCCATAAAGGCATAGCAAGTTAGGTACATAAAATGTGAACAGTTTTCATGTGTGACTAGTATTTTCCAGTCTGAAGGTAGGGTAGAATATGCATTTAATACTCCATGAGAAACTCTGTACTCTTTACTGCAGGGATCACACTGGTGTCTGTGAACACAGGAGACCCCGTGCTGTTCCTGTACAGTATAAGCTCATCCATTCCCATGAGTTTATCTTGATTGTTCTTTTCTTTAATGAATGGTTGCATGGAGGGTAAAACATTTCTCTCCCATATCCTTTACCTGACCAATTTGAAATGTATTCATCTGAACAGCACAAAATACGAGTAAAACCCATGCCAGTGACACTGACAGTGTTAGAGGAAGCACGCACAACATCAGAGCTTGAGCTAACATCTCCTGACAGTTGTGGCTGATTAAATGCTTAACCTCGCCATCTTACTCTCCTTCCCTGTTGATGCAAAATGAACATGAGAACCTTGCTAACAAAGCCAGAAGACGGAACTCATCCCCAGCTATTGCAGAGGAAATAAGATTTATGTTTTTTACTACCATTTTTATCCTGCTTGAGTCTTCCACACCCACCAAGAACCTGTGCTGTCAGCAAATCTTGGGAAGAACACAAGGAAAATGCCCCAACAGAGGAGACTGAGTCTGTCCATACAGAGAAGCTGCAGCCATAGATAGTCCCTGAGGTGTTATCAGGCCTTAATGTAATACATTAACATTTGAATAACATTTTAGAAAGAACTGAAATATAACTGCAAGGGAGTTTTCTTCAAATTGCCAGATAAATGCTGTTCATCAGCAGCTGCAAATCCCACACGTAGAGCTGCTTATTTTTGACCCCAAAACTGTGAACTCCAATAGCCTGTTGTGAAGCTGAAGGCACAGAGGTCTTCACAAGCAGAAAACTGAAAGACACCTCCTTTGACTACTGCTAAGTGCACCAGAGCAGAAAACCACTTCAGTACACAAACAAGGAAATAGTTTATAGCAGGATGGCACACCGAGACTTAGGAGCTAATTGGCCATAAGACATTTAATCACAACAAACACCAGGATAGTAGAATAGAGTCATAGTTTGGAACAATTTTGTAAAAGAGAATAACAACCCTATTATTTCATTAGTAGCACTCTTTAATTAACTTCTATTCAATTTCAAGGTCTTGCATTCACAAAGTATTCTAGAAGCCTCGGCAACACTCAAACTTCAGACGTTGCACCTCAGATCTTTTATAAGCAGTGATCTAAATTCCACCTGAGTTATTCTTTACAGCATAACTTACTTATCAGGTATCAAAGTATTAAATATAGTACAAACACTGGTATTTAATTCTGTTATATAAAATATTTTCATCTCCATTCAAAAGATAATGCAGATAGCAATTATGATAATAGTGCAGATTATACACTACAACACCCATAATTTACCTGTTCCCATTTTATCATGGCATGCGTTCCATAAGTCTCCATGCTGCGCATCTATCTGCAAGTTCTCTGTTCAACGTGCTCTGCCTGGTGTTAAATGTATTCATATATATTCAAATGAAAACTGAGAAAAGTAAGTATATGACCATGACTGCCTATTAGAATGCATGTCTCCAGGAAGATATACTAACAGAGCTTTTGGTTATTAATATTACCAGGGCGCTATTGAAAAGAGGAATGCTGCTAACCTCGCCGTTCTGGACAGGTTCCAAGGCTGGTAATTGCTTTCTGCATACTAGAATCATCTCTGCATTTAGAGTCAAGACCTCAAGTTCCCAAACACCGTAAGCTAAAGAAGGCCTTCCAGCAGCTCACTGAAAGGACAAGCATGTGTTAAATGACTTAGTATATTACAATAGAAAGCAGTGGCACAAGCCGCCATAGTGTATACTGCAGAGATCAGAAGCCTCTAAGCACGATTTAGAGGTGGCAGTCTGCAACAGATTTCTGAAAGAGACAGAAGAGAGGGAGGAAAATAAAAAGGGAAAAGGCACCTTCACTTCACACACACAGTTGTCCTTAAAATTTGTACTATTAAAATAGAAACACCCAGAGAGGAAAGGGCTTGAAAAATATCACACCACCCTTAATGACTTCCTGGACATTCATGACACTCATATTGCTCTTGTTGATTTAGGCTCTTGATCAGTTTAACCTCAGCATGGACAAGGAAGGCTTTTAGGACAAGAGGAAGAAAGATTTCACAGGTTTCTTTCAAACTCTCTTGTTAGTCTGCTTTTTTTTCCTTTTTTTTTTTTTTTTTTTTTTTTTTTGTTCTCAGATTTAAAAAACAAAGAATAAAGACAATGTCCTTATTCCACCTGGCTGTGTATGCACCAGGTTCTGTCCAAGTGATATGTCTCCAAGATTTGTTGGACTCTCTTGACTCTCTTGGATTCTCTCTCTCTCTATATATATACATATATATTTAATAATTGTTCTCCTCCCTGCTATTTGCCAAGTTATTTATATCATTTTTACTGTCTCTTTTTTCAAGACTTTAGAACAAGCTCACCCGTGTTGACCCACCGGGTTCATGCACCAGACAACTCCTGTAGGTTTAGCATTAGATCAGGAGAAAACCATGCTGACCTCTCTGTTTGTCTTACTTAACCTGAAAAGAAGCAAATCGAAACACGAAGGGAACTTGCTTCCCTTGTCTGTGGAAGGAAGTGAACGATAGAAAAGGTTAATGTTTTCTGTCATTTTTTTCCTCAGAAACATCTCTTCCCCATCCCTCCCAAAGAATCTTGACTACATCCAAGGCAACAGAAGAACTGCAAATATTAAATAATAACAAACAGACACCCAACAATTTCTTTGGGGAAACAGTGTTAGTTATAACACCAATCTTTTAAGGCCTAAAATTTCCTAAATGAATTTAGAGGTGTACAGACTATGCACTTTTGAGTAGTATTATTTTTTGGGAAGAAAAAAATAAATCAAGTCTCTTTTATACTAAATATCCAAACATCTGCAGCCACTTAAAAATGTATCAGTACCTGTTTTGGTGAGCTACAGTACAGTAAGGAAAGTTAAACTCTGTTCTTCAGGTTCACTTCTTGACTACCTGGAACTACTCCTCTGAATAAGAATAGAAAGAATTTACCTAATATTTGGTCGCATATGAGATGATTCAACACACATATCTATGAAAACTATCCTTGATACACATCCCTTTCATTACAGGGAGAATTATTGATTTTTCCCTGTTCTGTTCAATTTTTCATCCAACTGTATCAAACAAAGTAAGCTATTATCCAACCAAGACAGCTGCTGCTCAGAGCAGCGACCGGAAAAAAAACACATCTAATTTGGTACTAAGTATTCAGGATGATAACAATCGCTGTACTCCCAGCACATCTCACAAAGAAAGAAATGGTGCCTGGTGGAGGAAGGGAGGAAATGCACAGACTTGATGGCTGCCAAAACGTAACAGCAGAGCAGGAACCTATAATCATCAAAGCAGAAATGGATGTAAAGAAGCCGTGCAACTGTTTTTAAGCTCTTATCTTCATGAGATTGGAAAACACCATAGCCTTTTTATATATGTGCAGATGTAAATAGATATGTGCACAAATATTAAAGCTCTCTTTAAAGCAAGTCTTTGGAACCTTCACGATAATCTTTCCCTGTTTCTCTCCCCTCCCTCCAGAGTTTCTCTAATTCCAAGCAGGAGAGGCTCTCTCCAGAGCAAGCAGAGCATCACGCCGAGTTGCACACTTCGCAAAGTCCCCATGAGCACCAACACGAATTTTCCCAGAGAATCAGCCATATGGCAGCATGCGGCTGTATACCAAGAGAAGACTCTCTTCTGTTCTCTGACGTACTACGCCAGCATTCAGAGTTCTCCATTTGAATCGTGCACTCCCATATTGTGCTAATAGTTTTTAAAAAGTAAAAATACACATTTGCAGAAGAAACCACATTTAATAGAATACTATAACAATTAAGAAACTTTTCTTGTAAAATAGCATTGTCTCTTGAATACGAGTTTTTAAAGTATCTATAACAATAAAGCATTAAGAAGACCATGTGTTAGTTAGCACTGCTCTCCCAGTGAAAACACCCTGCTCAACAGCTTGCAATCTTCAACCATTAATTCTCTTATTCTTACCAGTTACCCACAGAGCAATTCAAAAGCAAAGCAGTAGAAATCCATGGAAGGACAACATGAGACAAAATTAGAAATATATATATAATAATAATTAAAATAAAAGAAAAATAAAAGAAGCATATATGCAGTATAGAAGGTTTTTGAAATAGTTAAAACAATACAGACCCAACCATCTCTGTTTCTGCTTTACCCAGGAATTTGCGGTAGCACTCAGAATCCAACCCACCTAGCTCCAATCAGAGTGTTTATGCAACCACCCAATACCTCTTCTCCCAGGTATACTTCTCTTCTCTGCTGCCTTTCCACCTGGGAAAATACTGTCCCACAAAATTAACTCTGTAACAGCCAAGCTTCTTAGAACTGACTGTGGCATTGACTTTTGTGACAACCTGCTGTTCTGTAATAAATTCTCTATTTTGCACAGTGCAGAAGGCCATGCAGGACTGATGGCTCATCTCTCCTTGGTCTGTTTTGGAAGGAGACTTTTACAGCTCACTGTGACATTAGCTAGGGTCCATATTTTTTTCCTTACAACGTAGCTATGCAGGAGAGAAAAAAAAAATGGTGCAACAAATATATTCTCTTTTTCAAATACAAAAATAATTGATATACTACTGCCTTAAAATTTTGAATTATCCAAAGAACCTGAATTTCCTTCCAGCACATCCAAAGGAGGCATATACTTATCTCATGAAGAATACATGAAATATTTACATTTTCCTCTGAAAATACAGAAATGGATCTGACTCATCTTAGAATAGTTTCTACAGTCTCTACTTCCTTGATTGAATCCAAGAGCTTTCCAACATGTTCAGCTTTTGTAGTACTGAGAGTCTACATCTAAGGAATCAGTTAAGACATTCCCTTAATAGCAATGCAATTCAGAAATGAAATGATACTACTGTACAGAAAGAAATAAGGGCAAAATGTTAACGACTCACCCCAAAACTTCATATTACAAAATATTTCAAAAATCCAATATGGCATGGAGGGCTATACTGTAGAATAGCTTTACAACTTTTTTTTTTTTCCCTAAGTTTGCTCTATATCTTTAAGCATTAGAAATGGTAAATCTACAGCTTAGACTGACAGAGAAAATTAGCCACCTAAGGATGTAGGTGGGCATTCTCTTGGGACTGATGGAGCCACCCAAGCATGCTAGATGCCTGACTCCATTGGGAGCAGATTCCTAAACTATTTACACAAATCACATAAAGTGCCTGGCTCCATCTTTTGTGTTTTATAAAAACCTGTGAGTTTAGCCTTGCGTACAGTTTAAAACAAAAAACACAAAGCGCAAGGCCAATTAAAATAAGGTTTCCAAGTGGTGTTTTGGTTTTCTTTCTTTTCACATAAAGTGGAAGATATAATACTTTACCCTCCTCAAATGAATGTATTCTAGAAGGGCAAAGCATTGTATCCTATGCTTTTATTGGATTGAATCTCAGAACACTCTCCAACAATAATTAATGAACATCGCCTCACTGCTCTTTTTTAATCTAGATAAGCATCAGCAATATTTTACACAGCGGGGAATAGGGAAACACAGGTGTTAAGTGGCTTGCCCAAGGTCACACAGCAAGGCTGTACCACAGCTAGGGATGAAATCAGCTCTCCTTCACAATACACCCATCCATAAACTTTAAAAAAATACTGCTGAAGTAATGCTGCTCCTCCTAACTCTCAAAGCCTTGTAAGTGCTTACATGCACTTTGTGAACATCTTTAACATCAATGTGGAGAAAAGACCAGGCCCTTCCATGCCATGCTGTCCTCAAGTGAGATGCAGGGCTAAGGAGAAGCAGAAGGTCTCAAGAGCTGTCCAACAGGGCTCTGCCATCCGTTTCTTGCACCTAACTGAGCATTTGTTCTGGCCCAGAAGCTACCTAGGCATGCAAAGGAAAGGCCAGAGGAAAAGGAGTGTGATAAAATATGATACATCACACCACCCAGTAATCCTTCACAAAATAAGAATTCTGGACTGCATTAATTTTCTCTCACACCATCCTGCAAGTGAGACTCCTTTCTTACATGTGACACCAACGGCCAGAGAGACCTGAAGGGTCACTGGAAGCCAGGAGGAAATGGCAGAGCTGGGGGCTTCATTCTTGTGTCTATTTCATGGAAATGTAAGAACAATCCACACCAAAAGAAAAAGAACGCCACTGTCTGTTTGACTTTCTCTCTCCTAGACAGCTTTATGAACTATATTGTTAATATAATGACATAGCTTGTTCAGTTCTTCAATTGCTTGTCACCTGAATGTGGCAGACTTTGTGAGTCCAAAAACAGAGAGAAGGCAGCCAGTAATTACCAGAACCAAACCCCCCATCCTACTAGTAGAAGAGCTAGAAAACACAAATTATCAAAATATCTATTTCTATATATTCAGTTAAAGAAAAGGGCTACAGACTAATGACAATATGCTTCTTTTATTATGTCACATCAGAAGTTACCATGAGCACCAGTTTTAATCAACATTTTTCTAATAGTAAGGAAAGTGTGCGGATTCCTTGTAGTCTTTCAGTCACATTCTTTGTTAGTGCACCTTGTTATCCAACTAGCACTGTATTGATGTTGGGTGTGTAGTGCAAATTGAATGAAAGAATTTTGTCATAAAAAGATAAAGCATGGAGGTTTGTTTTATCTGCTTCCCAGCTCCTGGCTAGTTTTTGATGCCCAGGTTTATCCTTCTTTACCAGTCCTATGATATCTTTCCACAGTTCCTTAACAACTAACAAGACTAATTAAGCATCGCTTTGAAAATTCATAATCTACTAGGAGGAGAAACTGTTCTGAATATTATGGAATTATTTATTTTTCCAAGCTGGAAAACTGACAGGGAGGTGAGTTTTCAGCTCATTTGAGTTGGTATAGCTGGAACCAGACCGTAGCTGCTGGCATTACTTACCATTATTTATCATAAGCTAAATCTTTATTCAGAAGAATAGATCTTCATAAATACAAGGAGTAATGTTTCTCCCTCCCTGCCTCCCCCCCCCCCCCCCCAAAAAAAAGACCCTATTGACCGTAACTGAGCTCTTTACGAATAAGGATTACTCACAAGAGCAGAAGTTGCCCAAGGAGACCCCTAAACCAAAACACGCTCAAAAACACATAGGATTATAATATAATGAGAAATACAGACAAAAATCAAAGAGGGCAGACATTTGGATGTAGAGAAAAGTGGCAACAGAGATTGAACTGCACTTCTCACGTTCTCAGCTGTCTACAAGGAAACAGTTTTACCTGCTGCTGGTAGGAAAATCAGATTCTTGCCCTGTTAGGAATATTCCACACTGTTCTGCCTTGTCCCCTGCAGACGTCCCCACATGAGCCATTTCTTCACATGCATATTAGAAGTATGTATAACCGCAGATAGCTACTTTCTCCAGTTTTCTGATGGCAGTTTGTCCTAATCAGATGTAGAGCAAGTGGCATGTTGCTGCTCTGTCATTCTGGCTGATAATATGTCACATCCATTCTCTAGGCACCACACCTAGATGACAAAGGAGGCACACAATGAGAACAGTCTTCCCATAGCCAAACAGGGAAACCTCTGAAATGAGCCATGGCTCTTGCTCTATTTGTGTCTGGGTTTCGCTCTGATGAAAACAAGGTCATGAAGTAGAAAGCAAGCAATAGCATCTGGAAGCATACCCAGACCTTCAAGTTATGGGACACTCCCTAGCCCTCCAGTTTAGGCACAGCTAATGATAATGTGCCATAGGTCATGAACATTAAAAGAATAAATGTATAACTTATGCCTGATAAAATATTTAATATGAATGTACTAGAAATCCTAATTACATCTGGAGAGTTTAAAACGAGCTATCCAGATTGGATAGTGGCAATTAACCAGCTGTGACTAGGAACAAAGGGAAAATAGCCTGTACTGAGGAAGAAACAGCAATGACATTTACATAATTTACACATACTCTGATTATGTGTAAATCAGGGAAGGGAAGTAGCAAAGCTATTAGCTCCAGATAGGATCATTGGACATTTGTGTTTATATCCAATACTTAGTTCTGATACATAGGTGTAGATGGGAATGAAAGTCATCCAGAACTTAAGGAACTACGTAAATATCATAAAAATAAAAGAAAACAACCTTTTGTTTACAAGGTTAAAAGTTCCCCTTCAAACTGTAACTACACAGACATAATTACTTGTTTTGGTCATAGTTTTTTTTAGAACTAATGGTGTCTCAGCCATGATTACTTCTCATTTGGATAATTTAGAGTATCACTGTTAGTAAGGACATACCAAACCTTGGCTGAAAGGGCAGTCAGAACGGATCCCTTTACCCATTCTGTGTAAGGAATACTCTTTTACCTATCATTGACAGTCCAATGTTTGATTTGAAGCGGTTTGATTTGCAAAATACAATTGGCAAGATCAAGAAAGTCATTTTATTCTTTCTTATTCCCATAGAAAATCTCAGCCTTTGTACCACCTTCAAATACTGTATCATACTCCTTTTATCAACTTATAATGCAAATAGGACACCCTTTATTCTCTATAGGCTTACACCGCAACAATACACATTAGTTAGAGATATCGATGTATGTTTTATTACAAAAGTTAAACTAGGCTTTATCCATAATTTTCTAAATCTCATTAAAGGTTCTTCTATATTCCAGATAGGATAAAGTAGCACTTTAAACTTCATGGATCTGTTTCTGCTAGTACAAGGAATCTATTGCCATCTGTAGTTACAGTATATGACACAGGGATGCCTTGGGGGTGAGAGTGTTCAAATGCAGATAAGGTGGCCTGCAATGAATCACTGTCCTCTGAAAGAGACTGCCTTGTTAATAAAAGGTCAGAGATCATAGCATCACTATTTCTCCAGCAGAAAGAAAAGCAGTGGCTGGATTTTCCTTATCACTTCCTTTTTTTTTCTTCTCACCAAAGTACTCTCAAGTATAGGTTCTTGTTCCTACTGTCTCTGTTTTGTAGATGAGCGGTGCTTTTTGAGACACCACAATTGCATAATATATTTTTAAAAGTAGGTAGGACTACTATAGAATTGGACTGTACATATTTCAGATTTATTTGCAGGATGTTATTCAATTTCACTTTTGCAACACAAAACCTCCTATTTTAAAATGAGGCTAATACCAAAAGATGTGCCTTGGAGGGCATTGCTAATCAGGGATTATCCCCTAGGCCTGTCAGTGATGGCAGGTTTATTCCTCTTGACTAATTCCGCTGGATTGTCTGAATGAAAATATAATAACGGAAGTTTTTCTACATAACTTACCATTGTATATGTAACAGTCGAGGTTATGTTTCCTTTTAAAACTTATTTAGCCTCAAGCCCCAATTCAGCAAAGAACTTCAGATCATGACTAAGTGTTTTGCAGGAACAGCATTTTGGTGGGTGCATCTTGGCTCAGCAGTCATTTCACAAGCTAAAATTCCAGAAGCACTAATCAGAGGTGGTTAACTCTCCTCATATAAATCTGCATTTGGCCAGAAGTCTGGTGATCTCTCAAATTCCCAGATGTACTTTTATCAGGATAATTTACCGTGTGAAATTTGCTGTTAAAGACTCCAGGGCAGCCATTCTTGTATTTAGACTGAGAAGGCAGCACGAGCTCTAGCTAGCCATGACATGTTTCCAAACAATATAGGGAATAATCGGTATGACCCTATTTAAATTTATCATAGACGTTCAAGGGAAACTGCTCCCAGAATAAAACAGTCCAAAACAAATTGACAACCAGGTCCCAGAAATTCTCCTTATTTTTGTGTTTTACACAATTATTTATTTATTCAAAATTATTGAAAAGCAGCAAGGCTACAGAATTCAAGATTATAAATGGAAAACTTCCCTGAGAAACCTTGTTGACTGGCAGATGGGAGAGAAGGGAAGATAGAGCAGTGCTGGGATTCCAGCTGAAACAGCTGGTCACTACTTAATGGATTTTATCAAGAGTGCAGGATTAGATTTCATTAACCTATACAGACACCGCAGGTACAATTCACCTGAGCAGATCAGCACATTTTATACTCTAGCAGACTTACAAGATTGTTTAAGTGTTGTGTGGGTCTTGTCCTGATATGAATTTCAGTGAAGAAAGGGAAATAATAAAGGAGAATCTTGAAAGGCAGTTTCTCTCACCTGCTTTTCAATTTCCTTGTTGGAAACATATTACATCCCCAGCTCCTCTGACCTCATCCTACCCCTAGAGAAATCTTATGATTTTAAAAGCATCTTTCTAGGCTGGCCATCTATTTATTATGTAAGTAGAGAACATGCTCTATGCAGCATTTGATGCTTCTGATACCTAAGAAGTGCTGCCACAGAAGGCCAGCCTTTCAGTCTAGAAAGGAACTGCAAAAAGAGAGAATCTCCCATTAAAGCATCCTTTGGTCTCAGAACAGCTGTCAGATGAATCAACTGGAATGGTAGCCACAGACCCTTTGAAAGAAATGAAGGGTTAACACCCTTCTGGGACAGTGTCGTCTTCCCCCACACACACTTTTTTTTTCCTCAGTTTTCTCCAGAGTCCTAGGACATTCCTCTGAATTGATCTGTATCATGTAAGATCTCAGTCTGAGTCTTTTTGCATTCGCAGCTGAACAATGTTGCTACAGAATTTTAACAGTATGATGTTGCAAAATTTTCACTGCCTTTGCATAGGTGAGCATACCTGTATGTAGGGCAAAGTTGCACAGTGAAGCCCAATGAAATTCTCCTATAGACAAAACGTTGACTGTGAAATACACATTTTCCATAGAGGGAGATATCCCTGCCACTCTTCTACCTAAAATTTTAGAATACATTTGGAATTCAGAGGAACATGCGATCTACTCCGCACGGAACTCAATTCTCATTTATACAATGCTCCATTTATACCAGTCTGTCAACTTAAAGGACCTTTGGAGTAGGAGTAATTACAGTTATACACACTTCATGGCCCCATTATTCTGACAAAGTGGCATAAGGAAGCTCCGATGCAGAAGAAAATCAGGTCTACTTATTTTTAATACAGTGACTTTAATATGGTTGTGTTTTATCTTCAATTCAGTCTATATATCTCAGTCCTCTCCTGTGCTTTTCTTTTTTGTGTTATTTCTATTGCTTGATACTACACTCAGTCTTTGTGGAGTATTGCCTCTTCAATAAAATATGAGAACATTAGGGGTGAAGAGTAAGCTCTTAATTCAAGTCACATACTGTGTGACAAGGGAATGAAGGCCTGTGTGTTTTGAACTTACGCCATCTTCATCCCTTCAGATGTGTTTGTGGTTCTGCTCTGACTACAGGCCTGTTCTCAGTACTTTATTTATCAACAGCAATTCCATACTCACTGCATGGTGGAGATGTTATTAACTCAAATCCTGTGACATGTCATACTTTTGAACTGTTTTGACTCTCCTTTCTGGCAATATTCCCTGTTTTTGCTATTCCCAGTTTTAGTAACTTGTAAACAACAGGAAAAAGTTCTTTTCTCTCTTTTAATAAGATCTCCCATGAAACCGTCACAATCCTTGCACTTTAAAACACCCAAAAGACAAATTAAGTCCCATAAAATAATCATTTCACCATGTTGCATTTTTAGAAGGTTCCATAAAACTGTAAGATGAAATGTCGGTGTTGTGGGACAGGTTGTAGACAGTCACACCAAGGGATCTAGATATCAAGGATCAAGAAGTTGCCATCTCAATAGAGTTTTAAGGTCTTCCTGGGGTTTTAGGTATCAGGGGATCTACACAAACATGATAGAGATACTAGATCCAGGAGTTCTTGGAAAGCCATTGGGAAAAGACTGAAAAGCTCTTCAAAAACTCCTAGAAAGATTCTCCATCAGTAAAGTGCTCAAAAAGCTTCAAATTAAATTTCCCCTAACTGGCCACTAGCAAATCTCCACCAAGTGGTAGAAAGATGATTCTCAAATTGGAGTGTGCCATTTACATCACAGCCCCTCCTGGAGGTTTATCTAAGAAGCCCATAAGAACATAGCTTATGCCTATTTTCACAGGAAGTGACCATGAGTAATGCCACCAGAAGACAGACCATACACCAAGCATTTGTCAGGGAAATACGGGTCAGAGCAATGGGACTTCCAATTTCAGCAGTGGAAGCAGCATTTCATAAAGTAGTATCAGATGACAGCAGGGCCCAGCTGTGCTAGGCTTTGTACATCAGAGCCTGTCATCCACAGGGACTCGATGCATGCAGAAGAAATAAAGCAGAGGTGAAAGGACTGTCTCAGACAAACACAGCAAAAAAAGCCATGGTAGCAGAAGGCAAGTCAATTGCAAAATTGGGTTATTTCACGAAAAAAATCAGGAGTTCTTTTCCCTCCTATTTGCCACTGCTTTCTAAAAAAGAGTAAGTCCCTGTGCTAGAAGCCTATTAGTAGCAACAGTGATTTAAATATCTGTAGGCAACTGGATTCAGTTTCAAGAATGACGGGCATGAATTTTACAAGGCATATTCATAGAAACATATTTTTGTGATGCAAATATAATGCATTTGAAAGCTTTGCTCCCTGCAGGATCTATGGTCTCATATCTGACAATTCGGCTAAAGTAGCAGGTAATTCATTATCATGCCAGAAAATACTGTAGTCATGCTCCTCATCTGTAGTGTGGGCAGTTCTACACCAGTTCTTCCAGTTTTCTCTGTGCAACATTTTTCTTTCTGAAAGTGGCCTCAAAGACTGAAAAAATATATTCAGATTTAGCTCTGTTAACATAAATATAGCAATGTGTTTTGTTTTTTTTTTTTTACACGTATATCTTAGGCAATAAAAATAACCTCTTTTCCACTCCAGTTTTTGAAAAAAATGAAGTACCCATCTACGTACTGTACTGTAGTGTTACCAGAACATTTAGTCTAAGGTAGGAAGACGGGACATTTGATTCAGATTTGTCCTTCTGGAATCTGGGTTTTGATGCTAAAGGGAAAATGGGTGCAAGCTTTAGTAATTACAGTGAGCTAGCTCTGTTACCCAGTAGGATTTAAGCATTTAAACTTCTATATGGACCTGGTCTGTGGTGTATCATGAACACTGTTTTCACATCTGAACTGTTTCGAAGCACAGAAAAATCAATAACAATGGCCTTGACTGTAAACATATCATAATAGCATTGCGAACTCCTGGTCATTCCTTTCTAGGCTAATAAGAAATGGTAAAGAATTACCACATTAATCCTTGAGTTTCTTAGTACTCTTAGATCTCCCATCTTGAACAACTTCTGAGAGTCAAGGCTCCTGTGCTCTGCTATGCTGTACTACTGTAGACATTTATTAGTTTGCAGAATACAGGGCTTAGTTCAAAAACATTTGCTACATTTCAACTTCTTAAAACAAACCCAGTAACAAAGAATATGTCACTGATTCTCTTCCTAAAGACCATCTACAAGGATGACTTTTCTGAACCATGCCATGCACGAAACAATAGGCAGGACAAAAGTAAAATAGTGCTAAGTAAGAAGCAAAGGATTTGGATGTATGAAACCTATTGGAAAGGTGTTTCAATTATCATTACTAAATCCTCTACTGGCATTTTTTTTTTTTTTTGTGTAACGGGCTAAATATAGAAATGATTCACTTACTACTACTACGTGTGGCCAGAATAAGAACAAGTTACCTCCTTGCTATGGTCTTTCACTTGTCCTCTTCCTTACTACTTTTGTCACTGAGGCTCAGTTCAGTTTTTACAGTCCTTTCCCCATACTACTGTGATTTCAAAGTAATGCTTGATTACATCCATAAATTGCCAACTGCTACACATACTCCTGAACCTTGGGTAGATTAACCAGCAAGATTGTGTAACAATGCTTTGCACCTAGGAAAATGATTGAAACAAATAGATGCAACTTAAACTTCTCAGCCAGTTCCCTTTTGTTTTGTGTCTGAAATGTTCAGCTCAGACGAGGCAGCAGTTTTCAAGCAGAATTTTCAAGAACTCTCTGCTAGAGATCTTGAAGATATCCCTCCTAACGCAGATGTTTATTTTTGCAGATATTTTGATGAAAGGACTTGCCTAGCGATCAAGGTTCTAAAATGGATGATTTCTGTATAATAATCAGGTAATACAGAATATTATATGTGGTATTGCATAGAGCAGTACCACCATAAAATAAAGTCTGTGTGCTGTGTCAGATTATTGAGCACCTTGAGAACAATATTAGTTTTATGGTGCATTAAGATTCTTTTTGGAATAAATTAGGTTTATGCAAGTAGCATTGGTTTCTTACAAATAAGAGAGTAAACAAACTTGACACTTGAAAGGAGATAAAGGAAAGAGAAGGAGAGGAATTTAAATCTTCAGACTAATGGAGATGCAGCGTCAGAACAAAAGATGCTATGTATCCCAAGGAAAGTGATCATAATGTGGGAGCAGTGCACGGAACAAAACTCAGAGTAAACAATTAAGGTCTTAATTTGGAGAAGAGTAGAAAGGAGAAGAGGTTGGATGGATATAGCCCTCCCTGCTCACAGTATTACATATTACATTTTCTTAGTGAACAGGCAAAGCATGCAAAGGTGGGAACAAACATTTAAGGAAGTTTAACATGCTTTCACTCTATGAAGACAGAAATTTTAATAAACTCATTTATAAATTATGCCTGTAATGCTGTTGTACAATGCATAAAGAAATCTAATTAACCATAGTAAGCCTAGCAGCACTTCCACTGTCAGTCAACAGAGCTGCACTATATGATGAAATTATTATGTGTGCTATTTGCTCTATACACAAATTAATTGACATTTTGGATGGTTGTTACCATGATCCTTTTACAGATTGCAATTGAAATAAAGCAAAATACACACCAAATGGAATTAAATCTAATTGAATAATGTAATACTAGCCTCAGTCCATTTCCCCCCAATCAAAGATGTAATATGTTTTGTAATACTAATTATTAATGACTTGCAATCTGTAGAACAGATTTTTAACAGTTCAGTTACACTACCCACCAGCCTGTAATTTCCAAATTATCTTTTAATTTACTGGGATTACAGATTTTAATGTGATGAAGTTTCTTTCCAAAAACTTAATGAACTTAATAAATTTTGGCAATACATGGTTTCTGTATTATGCACCTGTAGCTCTCTATTGAAAGATTATTATTTTGTTTCTACTCTGTAGCAGGGCAGGTAAAAAGCATAAACATCTGTAAACACAAAGAAAAGTCCAACAGTTCCAGAGGAAAAAAAAATACAAGTTTATCTGAGCAAACTGTACAAGAAAAGTAGGCTGTTGACTCCTGGTTTTGGTAAAGATAACTGTAGAACAGGTGATCAAGATTAAAAAAATAGGAGCAGAGTCCAGAAATAGTATGGATAGAGAAGTTGAAACAATTAATTAATCTCCACTTCCATGGGCTAGGGTGTGCGTGTGACTTACCTAATCATGTAGAAAAATAAGTAGCATGCTCTCCACATCACATGATGAGAGACTGCATGAAGCAGGGCTTGATGGCACCAGAAAATGGCAATCCTCAAGCATTTAAACCTCTGAGACCTCCAGAGCACCAAAAGGACCTGGCTCTGCAATAACAAATGTCCCTGTTAGAAACTGTTTCCAGTCTGGTGGCAAACACAAGCAAACATGAGCAATCACTGGGTCAAGGCCTAATGGGCCAAGATCCATCCTGTCATACCTGATGTTCTTAAAATAGTTTTGCATGCCTTTTACTCAGCCAAGAGGTCTACTGTGCGCAGAGCTGAACAAGGATGCTTACATTCAATTGCTTAGTTTTAATCTTATGGTTAAACACTTTGCTGACATATACTGAGACACAAGTTAGTCCTTAGGTCTCTGATACTCAGTTTAGCTTACCACTTACTGCCATTATTATTTTAACGAAGAGGAAATATTTCATCCTATTGTTAGCAAAGTTATCTATGCTATTATCTGTGTTTTTTACCGAACATTTTCCAAGTATTTGTTTTCCTCTGTGCAGCGTAGAACCAAAATTCTAGCCTGTATTTGCAACTGACTCATATTAAATGAGGCATTTTGTTTCAGTGATACCAAGCATAAGGACAGAAGGCAAATTTGGGGACAAAGAATAACTTGTTCATGAAGGAGTTAAAGTGTTCATCAACAGGAGTACTTCAAAAACGTAGGAAACTGCGATCCATCACTTAGCTGTAGGCTTATGTGACATTTACAACAAGCGTGTATATTTTGAGATAGTTGACAATGACATCTTTATGTTTTTGTTATCAAAGCTTCCATCTTACAATCCCCTTTGGTCCTGAGTATTGTTAAAAATGTGCCAGGGTTATGGCTGTTCATACCTTTCCTCTTCTAAGTGGTACAATGATCAGAGAAGAGCAAAGTTTTATGATCCCTTCAAGGTATTTGAAAATGACACTAAATGACGTTTATAAAGATTTCTAAAAGTCAGAACAGTCTTATTTTCTTTTTGAGGGCTTGTTCTCACCCTTTGAATTGTGTTAGGTGCCAATTCCTCTACTCTATTTCTAGAAAAATACAATGCATAAGTTTCACTGGTCCTGTAATTCTACTGACAGCTCTTGCAGATCAGCCAGCCTGGAAATTTTTTGCGTAACATCTTTTCTTACATGGTTCTTATCTTCAGTCCTTACTGCAAGCATTAACTGTTAACCTTTTTTTGCATCTTTGCGAAGATTATTCCCATTTTACAGAGGAAAACTAAGGGAGACAAAACCAATTGAAAACAAAGCATCAGTACAAGTGATTTTTTCCCGAACTAGTAAGATTTAGGGGAAGGAATTACAAGAGGGTTAGTTTCTTCTGAAATGCTGCAAATGAACACAAAATATTGGTTCACACAGTAGCTGAGGAAGTGACATGCAGACTGCAGCTATTCCAGTCTGTTGACTATAAACTGCAGTTGTGCTGTATGAGACACTGTGCCTCAGGATGCCTCCTACAAAAAAAAAAAAAAAAAAAAAAAAAAAAAAAACCACACAACTGAGTGCATAATCTGTTTTAAGCACATGAATAATTCCATTTGCTGAATTACTTTTGTGATGAAAGTTATCCAGCTGGCAAAAGGCTGAATTGAGGCTTAATTTCAAAGGAAATGTGGTAAAAATCAGAGGGTGAAACCTCCCATTCGCTGTAATGGAACCAAGCTCAGGCCTATAATTGATGCTTTATGGACATCTGCAACATCTGAAAAGTACCAGGGAACAACATCTAATGTTGGGATATTTGTTTTAATCTCTGCTTTTGGAATACTCATATTAACTGTTTTTGCTTAAAAAAGTACTGGGGAAGTATTTTCTTGCATAATAAAGATCTGCTTAGCGAAAACCTTGATTACAAAACTTAAGAAAAAATCCAGAAAGAGACAAGAACAATACTACTCACTGTGTTCCTCCTTTTCCCTCTTAATTGCTGTTTGTAATTACAAAAACCACCACCGACAAAAAAACGCATTTCCCACAGAAAGCATAATGGTTCATGCATTAATATTAAAAAAAAAAACAAAACACAGCGAATAGAAATAGACAATTTTAACAAGACTCTGTCTGCTTGTCCACAGGCACACAAACCTAAACAATAGCCACACACAAAGAAGCCAGGGAACATGACTTTTTTACTAGATATACAACCTTTAGGTTCAAGCATGGAGCTCAGCAGAGAAAACTTCTAATGAGTTCCCGCACTTCTCACTGGGCCATCATGCAGGAAATAAGGTATGCTCAGAATTTACCTTTTTCCTTCCAAATACCCTAGTAGTAGATTTTAACGCAATGGGAGAAATCCCCTGCGAAGAGATGCCTTTACTTCCTAGCAGAAACATAAGATCCCTACTCAATCCACTCCAAGAGGAGCATAGCCTGAAAATTTACAACGTAGCTGCCTTGGCTCACACATATATATATTATTAATCTGATAGTGCAATCATCATTGTTCTATGTGGCATAAGAAATTAAATAGGCACTAGGTGACAATTGACTGTCAGAATCTGTAATAAGGAACCAGTAAGATCCATATCAGAATCATTTTAAAGATATGTGTTCTCTTCTTTCAGATTGAGATGACAAAGAATCCTCGGTATCAAAAAATATATACTGCTTTTGATCTTTTAATTAAGTCAAACTTGCAAGAGAGAAGGATAGTGGCAGAAAAACAGAAAACAAGAAGTTCTCTTTTCCATATCCACTGCAGGTAGCTTTAGAAACAATCAAAAACATAGAGTGACATTCTGCGGTAGAAGACAGCAACTTTGCAGCCTTTTTTCCAAACCAAACTTATCTTGAAGTTGGCAAACATGCATGGATTCTGGGGCAAAGCCCAGTGGTAAGCAGTGTGCTAAACCCAGCCCATCGATGGTTGTGATGGCAGGAGTGCAGCTAAATGAGAGGAGACACAGCAGAAGCACCTGTACAGGCCAATAACTGCCCTTTGCCAGAAAAACCCTGCTGGAACACGAGGCATTTGGCATAGTTTATATCAGTCCATACAGTCTCTGAATTTAGTCAAATCCATATGCTGGATTAAAAGAATACCCCAGCTCAGCATCCACCACCCTGGAACAGACTGCAGTCAGTTACACTCAAAACAACCCCTATTTACCTCTAAATGTTGCTCTTTTAGCTTTTCAGTTACTTCTAAAGGCAAGATCAATGATACTCTTCCCAGCTGAGGGAAATAAGAATATTACAAGAACTGTAATCACTGCATCACCTGAAGTCAATTTTATCTGGTGACTGATACTAGTAAAAAAGAAAAAAAAAAAAAGAAAGAAAGAAAAAAAAAAAACATTTTCCCATTCCACTTGCCTACTCAGAAAAACCCACTTCTGTGGGCGCACAGCTGCTAAGTCTCCTAGGAGCCTACTGAGGTTTATTGAGGAACTGCAAGACAGCAAGAGGTTTTAAACACTCTTCTGACTAAATTCTCACTTCCAGGAAAACTAAATCACTGCAGTTCACATATGTCTTTTTGAATTAGAAGAATGTTATTTCATAAATACTTGATGTCTTAACACTGTTTATTGGAGTTCAGATACGAAAAAGAAGATTTGGACTGAAAATAAGCCTTTATGATAATGAATAGACTGAGTCACAGGAAAACCACATTGATTGACTTAATAGTTAACTGCCAGTCATTTTCCTCACTGATTTGTTAGGGGTGTTTTTAACTTCAAATAAATTGCATCATTATCTCTACCAGTAAAATGTAAATTCCATTTGAGTTTTGATAAAGACCATCAATACAAGAAAATAATTACCTTAATGTCCGTCGCACTGATGGATTCTTAGAAGCTGTATTTTTACAATGATACGTTAAATTTTTGATACGTTAAATTTTTTATCAGTTTCCTTAGTGAGGTCAGCACTATTTATAAGCACTGAAGATATTCTCAGAAAATACAAGAAAGCATGGCAGTAACAATATATGGAACAGGAGCACTAGGACTATTTATAGTTATGCTGTCAGCAGCTCACCTATTGCTAGTGGCTTTCTAATGTTAACTCGCTTAACACCTGAACCAAGAAGGTACTTTAGCATCTCTGGGAATGGAGGGGGCTAACTGTAAGTTTAGGATGAGGCACCTGACTATGAAAACTGTGTTCGCATGCAGACAAGCAGGGAATTGTCACAGGCAGCAGACTGCTGACGATGATGAAATCCCAGCAGGGCTACAGCAAAGCCTTTGAGCCTCATCCTCCTTGGCTGACTCGGACCACCAATGCAGCAGGCCCCACGGCGCTGCTGCTTTTGTGGGGAGAAGGGAACACACAGCGCATTAGAGATTGAGCAGCGTTGAAAAAAATTGCAAGAACTGAGGAAGGAAGCCTGGGAGCTGGCTGAATTCAGCACTGCCTTCCCACTTGCTGGCTCGTGGTGCTCTATAGCCTCAGAGGAGCTTGGGCACTTGTGAGCTGTTCTTACTCCTCGAGTGGCGAAAGTCAATACCACCTTTCTTACTGCAAATTCTTAACCAGGTCTTACTGAATTCCTTGCTAAATTGCAGCCTGTTTTATAAATGCAAGAAAATGTGATACAGCAAGCTTGTCCAAAGCCCTATAGTCAATGCTGGCACAATCAGGACTATACATTCTTTCCAAATCCCACACTCATTTCCTAAGATTGGAGTTCTTTATAGAGGAAATAAATAAAGACTGAAGGTGTGAGTAGACAAGTTTTGATTCTTATATTAAAAGAACTGTGTGTGTTATTCTTTATTATAGCTTCAAATGTTTGTGTAGAATGCACAAAAGTTTTTGGCAGGCTTTTGCAATTTATTATGATATTTTACTGCCTTATCTGAAGTCTTTTGGAAGTTGCACTGAAAGACATTCAAATGTACAGCCTAAACACAAAAGTCCTTTTTGTCTTACTTCTATAAACAATTTAGTTAATTGCAATAAAAAACTAATACTGCAAGTCCCACCTGGAATACAAGTGGAAATATAGGATAAACTTAAGACACGGAGGAATGGTATCACACTCACATGATTTACAATAGCAAGGCTCAGTGCTATCCCTGTGATAATTTATTCCAAGAACCACTTTCATTTTAATAGTGGTCAGGGTCCAGTTCTTTTACACTCTGATGAGGTTCCCTAAGCTGGACACTAATAGACTGCTGGTTTTGGATGATCTTCAAATCCCCGTTTGGATCTGGAGACCCTTGAGCTTTCTTCCACCTGAGTGAACTGCAGCGATAGCCCTTTCTTTCATTTTGATTTAGCATTGATTTTGGTTCATGCTTACATCCTAGCCTGTTCCCAGTGGCAATTCAGAAGCTGACTCACAAGTTCTTCCATCAACCCTGCCATGGGGCCAGCAACCCCTGGGACAGGGGAAAACAAGTCAGAGCAGGAATTGTTCCAGCTCTGCCAGCTTAATTGCTGGAAACATGCCAGAAGCTTCAGACAGCTTCAATAGCAGGCCTTTGCTGATCTGACTTACTTTGACAGAAATGAGCCAGGGAGCGCACAGGCAAGCTGCTGCACCCCCTCAGTGGGAACCTTCAGCAGCTCGGTAGTGATGAATGGCAGCAACCTCTTCCATCGACACCGCAGGAGCCACCGGCCAACCCACTTTATTCAGAAGTTGCCCAGCTCAAAATGATTTCTACAATTGATCTTTTCCCATCCAAGCTCATTTTGTGTCAAATGAGTCAAAATGCTGGCTCCTCTGAGAAGGTACAAACCGTAGTTTTGTTTTATTGAACTGGAATGTTTTACTTTGGTATGAAAGCAAGTGATTTTTTTGAGTACTTTTTGAACGCTGTTAGCATAGCTGAAACAAAAAGTGTTTCCCTGTAAACCTGGCCTGAAGATACTAGGTGTCTGGCTTGTAATTAATATGTTAGCTACTTTTAAACTCTGACAGAAAATCCCAGCCACACTTCCAGACAGTAAAATCCTCACAATTAAAATATTTGAACATGGTTCAGAGACTTGTCTAAGAACACTTTATAGTCATCTTTACCTCTGGGCACACGAGTCGGCCAATGACTTCAGTACAGCTCAAAGGCTGGCACAATTAAGTTTAAGAAGTTTAGCCAACAAATACAAATGTAAATCAGATAAATGCAGCAAATACCAAACCCCTTCATTTTAGTGAGTTACCGAAGGAGTTTTGAATGGAAAGTAATTTAATAAAAAATGATGCCACAACTAGCATTTTTGTCTATTTTGAACTACAAACAACACCAATAAACACAGAAGAGTTACATTCTGCTCTATAGTACCTTTTCCTTCTCTCCCAAATACACCATACTATATTAAGGCACCTCTCTTGGGACCAAATATGCTGTGCCAAATTTGGCAGGGAGAGCCTGATCACCGAAGTCTGCAGAAATATTTCAATTGATTTCAGTGGGCTTTGGAATCAGCCCATATTGACATCCATTCAACTTCATTGAAGGAAGCTTTCCTGTGGAGCCGCAGCAGCCAATGCAGCCATAATGACTTCAAAACCAAGCTTTAAGGCCACTGCCAGTCAAATAACATCAGAGAAAGTGAACGACAGCAGAAGGAGTTCATTACTATTTATCTAGATATTTTTTTTTAAGTATTTATTTTCTGAGCTCACTACTGTATTTTCCAGGTGACAAAAACTTTCAACTTGCCTTTCATTCCTCTTAGATTTCCTGGTCTAAGATGCAAACTACTTATTTATCTCAGGCCACTGAAATAAACATAAGGATTACATGAGGAGAATAGGATGAACATACCAGACTTAAAGGATGAAGAAACATTAATTTGCGATTTTGGGCTACCTGCTAGCAGCCAGCATCAACTACTTTTTATTTATTTATTTTTCCTGTCATTAAACTCATACTAAAGTTCCACTAACATCAACAGGAATTAAATATGAGCTTGCTGCATAGGATTTGGCATTCTCTCTTGTTACCAGTCAGATTCTTTGCTGGCTCAATGGACAACACATGCTTTTACAGCAGGTCATTTCAATACAGAAGTTGAAAGGCATGCTAGCCTTCCACACCTGCTTCTTGATCCAGCAATTTTTACTTGCTTGAGACATTCATTTCCTCACATATGATGCCATAATTTCAAGGGCACTGTTTTAGGAACAAGGGTGACTGTGTAAGTATGAACATAAAAGATAAGTGTCTCATTGTGTTCTGGACAGGGATGCTCTTGTGAGAAATGAATTGGGAAAATCCGAAAGAGAATTTACAGCCAACTCCATGGGAAATGTTCATCTATTAGAGTAAAGGACTTTAGTGAGCATCAGTGGGAGAGAATTTCCTAAGGCATGCTTAAATACGTCTAGACGAGAGTGACACTCATTCCTTTCATAATGCCAGAGCACTAAATGTTAACTTGGCTTTTAAAAAAGGAATAAAAAAGAGTTGCATGCTATTTTATGTGATTCTGAAAACACAAAATACTCAACAAACAAGGTCTTGGGTCCAATAATAATTGTTTCTTCTGCTTATTGGAGTCTTCATTTGATAATGTGATCCTAAAGGAATGATTCAGAAGGGCTCCCTGCAGTCCTTATTTCATTAACTTTTCAAGAACCAGATGCAAATCATATTTCAACCTCTTTAAAAATCTATACTGGTTTGGTGCTTCTGGACAACTGACTCGGTGCCCAAAGGCATATCTATATTGTGACATCCTTAATAAATGCGTGCTCGCCCCCAGTTCTCTAACTCCTATACATTAATTTTACTAAAGAGAGCTAATTCTCTCTTCCTTCAATTTGAGTATTCAAACTAAACCCAGCATTCTGCAATCCCACCAAGGAAAGAAATCCCTCTTCCTACGCAGTCCCACTGTTTACTGAAAATCCATAAAACAATATGGGAATTCTTTAAGTTAAGTCATTTGTCCTTAGAGCCTTGAATGACAGTGGCTCCTGACCAGCCTCACTTAGCTGGTCTCACTGCCCAGATGACAGCAAACAGTTTGTTAAAATCCTGAGTCCCTTTTAACCCATCAGAAGAGAAACAGTAAACATCAGCAGAGGCTGCTGCAGTGCAAAGAGCACTTACGCTACCTGGCAAAACGAGTACAGGAATTTATATTGACTACTAAGCACCTGCAGTCCAGTTCTTCCTTTCAAATACTGGTGATTTTGTCCCATCCAGGGTCTTTGAATCACTCAAGGAACCTGATCTACCGCAATTAAATACTGTCAGGATGAAGA